AACAAAAAATCATTCAAGCAAAGGGGGTAGTCCAGCAAGCAGCTTTCTGACATTATTTAGGGGGGGCCCTAGAATAATGTCTAAGGATTTTCAAGCTTAAAAAAGTATGTTGCTTTAAGTCAATTTGTATTCATTCCCTTTCGTTTCCTTTTGATTTGCTTTACTTACCTAAGCTCTTTAGTCTTTAAGCTTTCCAAGAGTTTCCAAAAGTCAGTGCACACTTTCTTTACAAAATCCCTTATTCAAAAATATCGAAAAGCAAAAAAACATTCAAGCAAAGGGGGTAGTCCAGCAAGCAGCTTTCTGACATTATTTAGGGGGGGCCCTAGAATAGTGTCTAGAGATTTAAAGCTTAAAAAATCTGTTGCTTTAAGTAAACTTGTATTCATTCCCTTTCTTTTCCTTTTGCTTTGCTTTACTTACCTAAGCTCTTGAAAAGTTGAAGATTTCCATTGAGTTGGATGCTTTTCAAGGTCTTTGGATTGAGATTTCCATTAAAATATTGAGAATTCCATTTCCACTTCATTGATTTCCTTTTACTTTAGTATTCCAAATGTCTTCAATTTGAGATTTCATTGATTCCCTTCTATTTTTAATATATATAGTTTTCTTGTACATTATATTGGAGGCCCCTGGTTGTTGAGGGGGGGGCGGGGTGTTGATTAATCAAGGGGCTACATTAGCTGCCGTGGGGCCGCTCAGCGGTATGGTACTCGGAGTGGGCGGTGTCCACATGCAAGTCCCAGAGGTGCCTTGCTCTGTCGGCTGAGGAGGAAGCTCACCCACCGGTGTTGAGGGACCCGCGGCTGGAGGAACTGAGACATGCTCCGATTGATCCTGTCCTGCTGGGGACGCCGTCGATGGGCGCATGGGCTCTGAGGTAGAACCCGATGTAGTTCCTGGCATGGTGGGCGCCCACGGATCACTAGCTTGTAGTGGATCCACCGCCTGCTCTGGTAGTGGCGCAACCTCAGGACTCACATCAGCCGCGACCCCATTGAGCGGCTGCGAGTCAGGACCCGGTTGAGCCCACCAGCTCACCAGCTATCATCCCATGTGCTATCCCATCGCCATCCATGGTCTGCGCTCCACGACGTAGTGCCATGCAAATCAGGTCGGAGGAGGTGCTATGTGCACTAGCCATGGCCAAAGCTCCGGTTACCAACTGTAACACCTACCCACCGACCAAGCTGTCGCATCAGCTTTTCACGCCATGAGCCGGGTACCGGCTTGAGCCATCATCCGATGGCGGGTCGTCAAGAAAAGGTTCATGATCATATGATCAACTGGATGAATGGTCTCAATTGCCCAAACACTTCAAAGGATGCGTAGCGAAGGGTTCTCGTTTAACTCGGGTCTGGGGGTAGAGCCTTGTTCGCGACCCGTTGTTTCTATGTTCGCAACCGTCCGCAACCGTCCGCAACCGTTCGCAACCGTTCGCAACCGTTCGCAGGTGTTCGCAGTAGAGCGCTAATGGCGCTGCCATTGGGGGAAGCTTTTGGAGAGGGTTTCGGATGGAAACGTGACGTGTCAGATTCGTGTGAAATAGCGAGGAATCGTGTGGAAATGTAAGATGTTGAAGTGTGGAGGATGATTTCACTGCACAGGCGCAGCGTTTTTTGAGATCCGCAGTTTGTTGCGCAGTTCCATTGGGATTAGCGTTTGGAGAGTCGTGTTTTTGGCGTGTTGGATGTGGCCGCGCCATTGGGATTTGCGTTTCAGGGCGTGGCATCGAAGCTCTGTTTTCGTGACAAGCCTCAGCTGAAATGCCGATTTTGGTGGATGGGAGTGTGCTCAGAACGGGTCGAAATCATTCCAAACGTGTGGTGTGGTGCAAATTTTGTTGAAGCTCACATGAGATGATATTGTCACTTTTCGTGGCAGGCGCAGTACTTTGTGCGGATTTTGAGGTGTGGAAGTGCGATTTTCGTGGCAGGCGCAGGGAATCGTGAGGTTGCGAGGTGTGACGGAGGTGACATTTCGTGGCAGGCGCAGTACTTTGCGCGCGTTAGACGTGTGGATGCGGAAAGATTCGTGGCAGGCGCAGGGAGTTGTGAGGTCGTGAGTTGTGGTAGAGGTGAATGTCGCTGTCACAGTGGGATTGGCGTGTGAGCGGGTATTGTTTGGAGGGGCTGGACTCGCGAAACTGCTTGGCAGGGCTGCGCGATGTGTATGCTTTTCGTACGAAATGCTCGTTTTGCAGACTTTGACATGTGAGTTTTGGAGGAAGTCTCGTGCGAAACGCTCGTTTTGGAGACTTGGCACGTGACTTTTGGAGGAAGTCTCGTACGAAACGCTCGTTTTGGAGACTTGACATGTGACTTTTGGAGGAAGTCTCGTACGAAACGCTCGTTTTGGAGACTTGACGTGTGACTTTTGGAGGAAGTCTCGTACGAAGAGTGCCCTACAAGAGTGTCCCACAAGAGTGTCCTACAAGAGTGTCCCACAAGAGCGTCCTACAAGAGTATCCCACAAGAGTTTCGTACAAGAGTGCCCCACAAGAGTGTCCCACAAGAGTGTCCCACAAGAGTGTCCTACAAGAGTGTCCCACAAGAGTGTCCTACAAGAGTATCCCACAAGAGTTTCCTACAAGAGTGTCCCGCAAGAGTGTCCCACAAGAGTCTCCCGAAGAGCGTCCTACAAGAGTGTCCCACAACCCACAAGAGTGTCCCACAAGAGTGTCTCACAAGTGTGTCCCACAAGAGTGTCCTTTTAGTGTGTCCCATAAGAGTGGCCCACAAGAGTGTCCTACAAGAGTGTCCCATAAGAGTGTCCCACAAGAGTGTCCTACAAGAGTGTCCCACAAGAGTGTCCTACAAGAGTGTCCCGTAAGGGTGTCCCACAAGAGTGTCCCACAAGAGTGTCCCGCAACCGTGTCCCACAAGAGTGTCTCACAAGAGTGTCCCTTAGGTCCCTTAAGAGTGTCCCACAAGAGTGTCCTATAAGAGTGTCCTACAAGAGTGTCCTACAAGAGTGTCCCACAAGAGTTTCCTACAAGAGTGTCCCACAAGAGTGCCCCACAAGAGTGCCCTACAAGGGTGTCCCACAAGAGTGTCCTACAAGAGTGTCCCATAAGAGTGTCCTACAAGAGTATACCACAAGAGTTTCCTACAAGAGTGTCCCACAAGAGTTTCCTACAAGAGTGTCCCGCAAGAGTGTCCCACAAGAGTGTCCCACAAGAGTGTCCTACAAGAGTGTCCCGTATGAGTGTCCCACAAGAGTGTCCAACAAGAGTGTCCCGCAACAGTGTCCCACAAGAGTGTCCCACAACAGTGTCCCACAAGAGTGTCCTACAAGAGTGTCACACAAGAGTTTCCTACAAGAGTGTCCCACAAGAGTGTCCCACAAGAGTGTCCTACAGGAGTGTTCCACAAGAGTGTCCTACAAAAGTGTCCCACAAGAGTGTCCTACAAGAGTATCCGACAAGAGTTTCCTACAAGAGTGTCCCGCAAGAGTGTCCCACCAGAGTGTCCTTTTAGTGTGTCCCATAAGAGTGGCCCACAAGAGTGTCCTACAAGAGTGTCCCGTAAGAGTGTCCCACAAGAGTGTCCTACAAGAGTGTCCCACAAGAGTGTCCTACAAGAGTGTCCCGTAAGGGTGTCCCACAAGAGTGTCCCACAAGAGTGTCCCGCAACCGTGTCCCACAAGAGTGTCTCACAAGAGTGTCCCTTAGGTCCCTTAAGAGTGTCCCACAAGAGTGTCCTTTTAGAGTGTCCCACAAGAGTGTCCTACAAGAGTGTCCCACAAGAGTGTCCCACAAGAGTGTCCCACAAGAGTGTTTCGTATGAGTGTCCCACAAGAGTGTCCCACAAAAGTGTCTCACAAGTGTGTCCCACAAGAGTGTCCTACAAGAGTGTGCTACAAGAGTGTCCCGTAAGAGTGTCCCACAAGAGTGTCCTACAAGAGTGTCCTACAAGAGTGTCCCACAAGAGTGTCCTACAAGAGTGTCCCGTAAGAGTGTCCCACAAGAGTGTCCCACAAGAGTGTCCCGCAACAGTGTCCCACAAGAGTGTCTCACAAGAGTGTCCCACAAGACTTTCCTACAAGAGTGTCCCACAAGAGTGTCCCACAAGAGTGTCCCACAAGAGTTTCCTACAAGAGTGTCCCACAAGAGTGTCCCACAAGAGTGTCCCACAAGAGTTTCCTACAT